GGCTCACTGGCTGTGATTGACAGCAGTAGGAACCAATGGGTTCCCGCTACTGTCTCAACCAATGAGGAGGAAGAGTCCACAGACAGCAGAGGCTGTCGAGAATGTCACAGGACCAGAGGGGACTTATGTAAGGATTGGGGGGGGAGCATGAGTCTTTAGAACCACTTTAAGACTACAACAAAGGTTTAGCCTTTACAGACTTTGTGTTAAGACTACATTTTCCTGAGCACTTCAATGAACTCAACCCAAACAGAACCCAATCACTAAGTAAAGGACAGTCTAATCTTTACAAAGACAGTTTTACACTGTAGTGTTTCCCTATTCAACTCATGTTTTCTTTATTGTCTAAGTTGAACTGGGTTTCTGAAGGCAACTCTAAATTCATGTAGTCAGCTATACACATTTTGTGTGTGCCCAACATATAGTGCCCAATAGGAAGCCGGAAAAGTAGTAAGGAAGTCACTAGAAACAAACATTTTGATAAAATGGCTGAAAACCAACAAATCAAATAGCAATACCAAATGTTCAGTTACAGCGACACAAAAACATCTATGGTGATAACGCTAAAGTCACCCGCTCCATGAGGACGTCGATGATGAAAAGCTTAGGGCGGTGCCTTTGGATGTGAGGTTCAGAATACTCCTGGTTTGTCTGCACATAGCATGTGCATGTTTTGGCTGGGTCTGAGTCGCCTGTATTCATTACACATGCTTTCTATACTGGTGTCAGTCTGGACACCTTGCTTTGACAGTCTGATCATCTCTCAGTTTGGATACTAAATCACCTTTGGAGTGGATTTTCAACTTTGCAGCACATCATCTGTTGGAGTTCATCCCTCATTTCTTCAGTTTTGTTGTCACCATATTATTCATTTCTCCCAGAATAACAAGTACTATATGCTGGTTTTTCAACAATCAGCATATTACTCTGGTGAGTTCTATTTAACCATTTTTTGGTGGTGGATTTACTTGGTGATGAATTATTTTGGACATTATTGATTATTTGAACTTTTGGACTTTTTTCGTTCTTGCTGGATTTTATTTTGATTTAAAATATTGTTTTTTATTGTTTTATTTATTTTTTTGTTACACTTTTGTATGTATTTAAGCGCAACCTATTTTTTTAAAGTTTTGTATATCCTATAAGTTTATAGGCTAGGTTTTGCAGCTTACTGTTTTATATAATTTCCGTGGCGCTGGTTCTTTATTTTTTATATATATATATATAATATATATATATATATATATATATATATATATATATATATATATATATATATATATATATATAGATAACGCTAAAGTACCTACAAGGCAAGCTATAAGGATAATGATTAATTATTGATAAACTGATGACATTCACATTTTAATTGAAAACACAATATTTCAGAATCAAAAGAAACAAATAAATAAGATGACATGTTTGTAATGAAAAATGGCACAATGCATGTTGATACTCATTACAAAAGACAATTTAGTCCCACATATATTAAACTAGACCCAGTAGCTTTAGGTGATAGCTAATTTACTCTAGCATCACTGTACCCTGTAGCTACTAATGGATACCTGTATCTAGCATTATAGAATTAAATTAAACATACATAAAAACAACACTGCAATTTTCTCTTCCTTGTTTTTATTAAAATAGAGAAATAAATTACATCAATAAATTAGAATTATATTTACATTATGTAAACTACTTCATTACTTAAAATACCAGTTCTGGAACACAAAAGAAAACAAAGTTATACAGAATAACAAAATTAGCAAATGTTTTGCCAATACGTGTTTGCAATAATTCAGAACTCAAAAATCATGTGTTGTTTAACTACCTGAAAAGATTTTCTTGCACAAGGATGCATTCATATCCAAGCATTTCCTGTCAGTATAATCCAGCCAGCTACTACAAGGAAACCACAGCAAACATAGAATGTGTATAGAGTATAGATGCATTATACCATCCTATGACTTCTTATATCTCTTGGGGAACCCCTGGAGAGATCTCTTCTCCTGAGTTATTATGAATAATAAGGAAAATACAACAGGAGTGAGAACACCTCAGGTTATATAGAAACACCCAAAAGGTCCATGGGGACAAATGTAGGAAATGTGGCACAGAAAGCTATGGGACAGTATGCCTCTTTTATTTAACTACTGAAACCAGAGATAGCAAGTCAGTTAGTATATTCTAGAGATCACATATTCCAGCCCACCTATTTCTTTCATGATGGGTTTCCTTCCACCTCATCCAGGTATGTTTCTACTGGCAGCACACTAGGTTCAGCAGTGCTGCCTTGCATCATGGCTGCCTGCTTCTTGTGCTATTTCGTTACACTGACCTTCCAACTCTCTGCCAATATTGTAATTTAGGCAATACAATAAATTGTATAACATTACAATTAAAAGAAGACTAATTATGAATCCATGAAGTCTACCAATGTCCTGCTCACAGCTAAAGTTTCCCCCTACATCTCCCATTATGACATTTTAGATCCTGGCATATTGGAAGCCAACTGTTACTTCCTGACTTTTACAGCTGTCCTCCCTGGTAACGCATGCCTGGACCCTGTGCATTCACACATATAGCTGGCCATCCTTTTATTTACTTATTGTAATGGAGTTGGAGAAATCAGAACAAGATCACTTTAACTCTTGCAATACCTCTGACGTATATGTCTGAAGTCTTCTGGAATACAAGTTTTGGATTTGCCAGGAACCTGTAGGTGGCTGAAGATTCATCACTGTTGTCTAGGCTGGGAGAAGACATGTGAGGGGAAGATCAAAAATATAAGGCACTTGGGAAAGCACATAGAAATTCTTTGGTTGTCTTTAATATTGAGAGGCAAAGTAACAAAGTTGACAAACTGGTGAAAGGTCAGCTTTAAGGTCCAGACTGGCCATATACTGTCACTAATGTAGATATGAAGGTCTGAATTCTACAAACAGCTCTGGGCAATATACTTTCCAGGAATTTTGAATATAAAAGATAAAAACAAAAATGGGTTCAAGTTTAAATATCTAATACTAGCTCATTCCTTAGCGTGTCTAACCAAAAACAACCAAAAATCCAATATCATATAAGAACACTGAACTAGAGTCAGTGTCAGTTTTTGTATGATACTTTCCAGGCAACAAGTGTTGGGCTGGACTCACATTGTTGTGATGTGTTAACATGCATTATGCTGCATGTTAATGTGTGTTACTTTTGTGCAACCCCTTCATTTGAACGGCTACCTAAGCAGGGTTGTCCTTTAAGGCAGTGCAAAAAGGGGCAGCTGCCCTGTTCCCAGTCATTTTTGTGGGGCCCAAAGCATCTGCCCATATTTGCCAATTGTACTGGTTTACATACCTTTGTTACTTGAAGTCTCCCTCCTGTGCTGTGCCCTGATATCGTGCAACAGAAAGAAGAGTCAGCCGCACACCAGAGGATAGATGAATATAGTGTGTATTTATTGATCCATAGGACACACAAAACACCAGGGCATGAATACAGGACCTGTTAACGCGTTTCAAATGATCTCCTGCCCTGGTATCTCAGTGTGAAGTACTGTCACTTATACTGGCCAGCTCTTCCCTATTACAGTGAACAGATGACCCATGGCATCAGCATTGATATATAAATAGCAGTGGCATTCATATGTAAATAGTGATGGCATTCATATGTAAATAGTGGTGGCATTCATATGTATATCATACCCCCTGAGGTTTCAGCCACCATGACTCTGCTGAATGTTGCCCACTGAGGAAGTAAACAGGGGCATGCTTGAAAATCCTGCCTGCAACAGTGGTCATTTAGCCTACCATCAGCCACTTCTGCAAAAGTAAGTAAAGTGGTGCGGGTGGGATGTGAAGAGGTAGCCAGAGAAGGAATTAGTTTGGGGGTGCACAGGTGAGCAAGGAGGTACAGAAGTAAGGAAGTTGGGTGCATAGGTGAGCACAGTTAATGTGGGGGGGGGTTAGAGTTGAGAGATTGGGGGAGGTTTGGGGTGCAGAGGTCATCAATCAGTGAGCCATAATGATGTGCTGTAACCACTAGAAACTAATTAGTGAGCTGTAATGATGTGCTGCAACCTCTAGCAACCAATCAATGAGCTGTAATGATGTGCTGTAACCTTTAGCAACTGATAAGTGGTAATGATGCACAGTAACCTACAGCAACCAATCAGTGAGCGGTAATGATGTGCAGTAACCTTTAGCAACCAGTAAGTGGCATTGATACACAGTAACCTATAGCAACCAATTAGTGAGCGGTAATGATGTGCAATAACTTCTAGCAAGCAACCAGTAAGCAGTAAGGATGTGCAGTAACCTCTAGCAACCAGTTAGTGGTAAGGGTGTGCAGTAACCTTTAGCAACCAATCAGTGAGCTGTAGTGTGTGCTGTAAACTCTAGCAACCGGACAGTAAGCAGTAATGATATGCTGTAACCTCTAGCAACCAGTCACAATTTCTGCCTGATCTACTACTGCAAACTGATTTTTTAGTCTAGCTGCTATTTATGCATGGGGGGGGTGTCAGGGTTCAAACAATATTAAAGATGGCCCTGTACCTAAACCACCAAAAAAAGAAACTCATGTGTATAAACTTTGTTGCACTGAGGAAGATTAATAGACAAAAAAAAAAGAAATACAGTGATGACAATGTGGATTTCCACTTTTCACTGTCTTTTGCTCAAAATGAGAATAAAGGGGTGAAAATTAATCTGATTGACATTTATAAATGAACTACAACTCAACCTACTACAATAAATTATTAGACAAATCTATAATTTATAAGGAATTACACCAAGCTAAAAAACTGTTCTTAAAAAAAAAAAAAAAAAAAAAAAAGTCCCGATATGAAAAGTCTTCTGTTTATAGTGGTATGGAAAATGTTTCCCTGATGCATGCTTTGATGGGAGAACAAACATTTGTCACATAGTTCTGTGTTCATATTATTAAAAAGAATGCCATTTAAAATGTGAATTCACTAAACAATTTACTTGATTGGAAAGGTCCACTATTCACTTTCTGGGTTTTTCTACAAATTGTTGTATCTGTAACATTAAGCCATTCATTTTCTCCATCCAGTACTCTGTATTGTCTTGTAATGGAGTAGAATGCGCTTCTGTGCATTGTGTCCGACATGATTTGTCTAATGAATTTTTTAACACTAACTCTTCTGATTCCCCATTTACTGTTCCAATTTGGGAGAAAATCTGATGCTGTAAATGAGATCCTGTGGTTAGAGGTGGCACAATGTTGTGGCTACAGGATACAGCATTTAGAGTCTTTTTTTGTAGGCAATCTCTCTGTTCTTGTATAAATTTCAGATGAGTGAAAAGATTAGAGAGAGTCTGATTGCAGGTTTCTAGATGACGTTCATACTGTTGACATCTCAGTTTCCTATCTTCCAACTGCTGCTGCAAACATCCATTTTCTTGGCCTAATTCATTTATCTGGGTAAGAGGAAAAGAGAATGATTATCTGGTTCACCTTAACATTTTATTAGATATAGAACTCTTGTTTTAATATTGTAGGCTTGAAATAAGAAAACAGTTTGTTCTTATTCTATATCAATTTAACATCTGCCGTTCCAATCTTCTTTTGTATTATGAAGTCAAAATATGAAAGAAAAAAAAGAAAATTGCACTGAGCATTATACTCATCAAAGAATAATAATCATGACAAGTAACCACAGAGTTACAAATAAGAAATAATCTTTGTTATAGTGTTATAAAATAATCATCTGTATGGTAGTTGTTCAAAAAATTCAAGAACAACTAAATAGCGAGACAGTGAAAAGGGGCCATGAGGACAGAGAACAAGAACACACATAGATGTTGTTTTAGTAAAACTAGAGAGTGTAAAATTAGGTGCGGCTCTGTATAGAAACCAATCAGCCTCCAGTTTTTTTTTTGCAAAGCCTAATTGAACAAGCTAAAATTAGAAGCTGATTGGCTATCAGTGGCCTTAGATACAGTCAGGTCCATAAATATTGGGACATCGACACAATTCTAACATTTTTTGGCTCTATACACCACCACAATGGATTTGAAATGAAACGAACAAGATGTGCTTTAACTACAGACTGTCAGCTTTAAGTTGAGGGTATTTTACATCAAAATCAGGTGAACGGTGTAGGAATTACAACAGTTTGCATATGTGCCTCCCACTTATTAAGGAACCAAAAGTAATGGGACAGAGTAATAATCATAAATCAAACTTTCACTTTTTAATACTTGGTTGCAAATCCTTTGCAGTCAATTACAGCCTGAAGTGTGGAACGCATAGACATCACCAGACGTTGGGTTTCATCCCTGGTGATGCTCTGCCAGGCCTCTACTGCAACTGTCTTCAGTTCCTGCTTGTTCTTGGGGCATTTTCCCTTCAGTTTTGTCTTCAGCAAGTGAAATGCATGCTCAATCGGATTCAGGTCAGGTGATTGACTTGGCCATTGCAGAACATTCCACTTTTTTCCCTTAAAAAACTCTTTGGTTGCTTTTGCAGTATGCTTTGGGTCATTGTCCAACTGTATTGTGAAGCGGTGTCCAATGAGTTCTGAAGCATTTGGCTGAATATGAGCAGATAATATTGCCCGAAACACTTCAGAATTCATCCTACTGCTTTTGTCAGCAGTCACATCATCAATAAATACAAGAGAACCAGTTCCATTGGCAGCCATACATGCCCACGCCATGACACTACCACCACCATGCTTCACTGATGAGGTGGTATGCTTAGGATCATGAGCAGTTCCTTTCCTTCTCCATACTCTCTCTTCCCATCACTCTGGTACAAGTTGATCTTGGTCTCATCTGTCCATAGGATGTTGTTCCAGAACTGTGAAGGCTTTTTTAGATGTCGTTTGGCAAACTCTAATCTGGCCTTCCTGTTTTTGAGGCTCACCAATGGTTTACATCTTGTGGTGAACCTTCTGTATTCACTCTGGTGAAGTCTTCTCTTGATTATTGACTTTGACACACATACACCTACCTCCTGGAGAGTGTTCTTGATCTGGCCAACTGTTGTGAAGGGTGTTTTCTTCATCAGGGAAAGAATTCTTTGGTCATCCACCACAGTTGTTTTCCGTGGTCTTCCGGGTCTTTTGGTTTTGCTGAGCTCACCGGTGCGTTCCTTCTTTTAAAGAATGTTCCAAACAGTTGTTTTGACCACGCCTAATGTTTTTGCTCTCTCTCTGATGGGTTTGTTTTGTTTTTTCAGCCTAATGATGGCTTGCTTCACTGATAGTGACAGCTCTTTGGATCTCAGCTTGAGAGTTGACAGCAACAGATTCCAAATGCAAATAGCACACTTGAAATGAACTCTGGACCTTTTATCTGCTCATTGTAATTGGGATAATGAGGAAATAACACACACCTGGCCATGGAACGGCTGAGAAGCCAATTGTCCCATTACTTTTGGTCCCTTAATAAGTGGGAGGCACATATGCAAACTGTTGTAATTCCTACACCGTTCACCTGATTTGGATGTAAATACCCTCAACTTAAAGCTGACAGTCTGCAGTTAAAGCACATCTTGTTCGTTTCATTTCAAATCCATTGTGGTGGTGGTGTATAGAGCCAAAAATGTTAGAATTGTGTCGATGTCCCAATATTTATGGACCTGACTGTATGTGTTTTGGATCATTTGTATGCTGGAAAAGCACATGACGACCAGGGGCACAGAGTGATGGTAGTATCACCTCTTTCAATATAGAGCAGTGCATCTGTGAATTCATGATACCATCAATGAAATGCAGCTCCCCGGCACCAGCAGCACTCATGCAGCCCCACAGGAGGACACTGCCAGCACTATGTTTCACTGTAGGCACCCTACATTTTTCTTTGTACTCCTCACCTTTGTGTTGCCATACAGTTTTGAAGCCATCAGTTCCAAAACCTTTTATCTTGGTCTGATCACTCCAGAGTACAGAGTCCCAGTAGTCTTTTTCAGCATGGGTCCTGGCAAATTCTAGGTGGGCTTTTTTGTGCATGGGCTTTAAGAGAGGCTTCCTTCATGGGCGACACCCATGCATGCCATTCCTCTGCAGTGTAAGCCGTATTGTGTCACAGGAAACAATCACCCCAGTTTGGCTTTGCATGGTGATTTTTTTTTCAACCCCTCTCATCAGAAGGTGTTAACTTCCGTTGACAGCCTAGACGTCTCTGCAACATGGTTGCAGTTCCATCTTTGTTAAACTTTTGTATAATTTTTGCTACAGTATTCTGACTGATAAGTAAGGTTTTGCTTTAACCTTTCTTGTATAAATAAATTATTTTCTTTCCTAGGCCTTGTGACATTTCTCTTCCATGTGGTGCCATTGCTGACAGCATGAAATGGGAATGGGTATTCTTTGTTAAATAACGCCCTTTTAATATCAACTGTCTGCTGGACACCTGTTTAAATAAATAATTAGCTAAACTTTAGCTTTGCCCCTAAGACTTTCATTAGGGTGTATTCATTTTTGCATCATGGTCTTGAATGAATCTGTTAGGAAAGATCCTTTATTGTGTGTGCAAATGAACTTGTTTGCAATCAATGGCCCACATTTGTGGGAATATTTTGTAGTATAGGGTCCCAAAGAAAATGTTGATTCTGAAAGGAAAGTAAAGGTTTTATGACAAATTTGTTGGGGTGTACTCATTTATGCAGAGCACTGTAACTCTGTTGCCATAGTCATATTTGAAACAAATATCTAATTGTGAATGTACCAAGTATTTCCTATGCATATCTCATGTTCAAAGTCCACCTTTTGCAAACAATAATAAGGGCAAAGATTTTTGCATAACAAAATGTGCATTTATTATTTTTTTTTCAAATGAGGCTGCAAAGCAACTGTGATCAACGGATCATGGGTGCAATGTTAGGCTGCTGTAGACTCTTCCTTCTTCTCCTTGTCTGTGCCTCTCTTTCAGAGAGCTGAAGGAAGTGTCAATGGACTAAGAGTGTGATAGTCATTATTAAGAACTACAAGTTCCACTATGGTGGTAGAATGAATGATGTAACTATGCAGGAGGAAGAAGAATCCTGAATGCTTTTAGATGGGGATCCATTTTGGCGGTAGAGGAGGTCTGTTTGGCACTATGTTACACCCTAAATATGGGTTCAATATATCTTAGAGGTGGAGTTAGACTTTATAGCTCACCCTCAGGCAAAAATCAAGGAGGTTATGGGGCAGATGGGAGCCTGAAGAGTACCTTTAACCTCTTGCTGACCGCAGATAGCCGAATGATGGCTTCACTGCGGCTGGCCAGTTCTGGGTGGACGTCATATGACGTCCTCCCAGAACGCGCTCTGTTGCACTCCCCAGGGGCGCGCACCTGGCAATCTCTGTGATCATTACGTGATCCTACGGACACAGCTGATCACGTGCTTTGGTAAAAAGCGGCCTTTTACGATGTGATCAGCCGTGTCCAATGACACACTGATCACCGGGAAATGCAATTGCCGGTTATCGGCTGCACTTTCCTCACGCTGTCACAGCGTGAGGAAAGTACTACCGAAAACCGCCAGCAGTTAGAGGAGGGATCGGCACCAATCATCAGGGAACTGATGATCAGTGCCCTGATGATCGGTGCCCAGCAGTGTCACCCACCAGCGCTGCCCAAAAGTGCCCAGCAGTGCCACTCACCAGTGCTGCTCACAAGTGCCCAGCAGTGCCACCCACCTGTGCCCGTCAGTGCCCACCAGTGCCACCCACCAGTGCCCATCAGTGCAGCCAAGCAGTGCCATTCATCAGTGCCACCCAGCATTGCCACCAGTCAGAGCCCATCATTAATGCCAGCTCAACAGTGCTGCCTATCAGTGCCCAGCAGTGCCGCCTATCCATGCCACCTCATCAGTGCCGCCTATCAGTGCCCATCAGTGCTGCCTATCAGTGCAGCCTCATCAATGCACATCAGTGAAGGAGAAATATTTCCTGTTTGCAAAATTTTATAATAGAAACAAAGAAAATTTTTTTCACATTTTTTTGTTTATAGCACAAAAAATAAAACACTCAGTGGTGAGAAAATACCACCAAAGCAAGCTCTATTTGTGTGAAAAAAATTATAAAAATTTCATATGGGTACAGTGTTGCATGACCAATTGTAATTCAAAGTGTGACAGAGCTGAAAGCTGAAAATTGGCCTGGTAAGGAAAGGGGGTATAAGTGTCCGGTAGGCAAGTGGTTAATGCATATTACATTATCATATTCCTTACAGTAGATCAATGAGTTCTACCATTTACTAACAATAGCTTCCTCTGTGCTTCCTATATCAAACTCTTCCTCCTTGTTATAGGAAACACTTCCTGGCTATACCGTCCATTTTCATCTCCTTATAGCAAACTTTTCCTCCTCATTGTATCAAACTTTTACTCCTGATATGAGAGTACCTTCTCATAGCCATATCGGTCTACACAGCCTCAGTGGGGCCTAGAAATAAAGTACTTCTAGTAAAGTTCATCCCTAGCTCCT